GGTTTCGGGGTTAGGGGGGGGGTTAGGGGGAGGGTTAGGGTTTCGGGGCTCCGTTCCCACCAGGTTGGTGTAGGCCAGAGCGGTGGAGGGCAGCTTCGTCACCTTCAGCGTGAGCGCCATTGTGGGTCGTCTGCGGCCGCCTCTTCAGTGTGCTGCTGCTCCTGCTGCTCCTGCTCCTGCTGCTCCTGCTGCTCCTGCTGCTCTTGCTGCTCTTGCTGCTCCTGCTGCTCTTGCTGCTCCTGGTTAGTGCTGCTAGTAGCCGCTGTGTCCGGGCTGCTGCTGCTGCGGCTAGTCGCTGTCGCTGCTGCTGCTGCTGCTGCTGCTGCTGTTGCTGCTGCAGAGCATGACTCCTGAGCTGTCCAGACACTGCAGGACACGGCACGGGAACTGCGCCTCTCGCAAAAGCCCCAAATAATTCTTTCCTCCAATTGTGGCGTTGCTGCTGCTTCGTGGCGTCAGCTGTGCTGCGTCTGAGGTGTATGTACACCGGAGCGCGCAGCAGCAAAGGCAGCGAGGAAGCGGCCCCTGGACGGCAGGTTTGCCAGAAAAGGACACAAAAAGGAGTTTAATTTACTAAAGGATGAAGAATAAGGCAATACAACAAAGATAAGACAGGAAAAAACGAAAGAACAGCTGCAGCGACTCGCGCCAGCCAGCGCATGCACCAGCAGTCGGCAGCGGGCACCGCTGGCAGGGGGCTGGCCACCTTTCTGGCGCGATCTTCTTTCAATTTCGAAGAAGAATTATTTAAATGACTTAATTTAACATTTTAATTTTCAAATTGAAGAAAATGAGCAGCAAAAAGCGCGCACAGACACCCCAACTCGCCTCGCCGCTGCTGCCAGCTGCTGCATGCAGCTTTGCCGGCGCGGCCGGGAAGGGCCGCGAAGGCGAAAAAAGATAAACTGAGTTGAATTAAAAAGTAAAAAAAGAAATATTTTTAATTTGAATTCAAAATAATTACAAAGTAATCGGCTCTACACCTCGCAGCCGCCTGCTGCAGCACCAGTTGACTGCAGCAGCAAGTTCAGCCAGCGAGTCTCGCGTGACTTTAAGGACTTTTTCCAACAGTGACCCCGCAGTTAGCAGCATTAGTTTATTCGTTGAGTTTAATTTATTATCAATTTATTTTCGCCCTATTTTGTCTAGCCTGAGCCCTGCTTCTGCCGCTCCCTACAGGGTCACCTCCCCCTGCTGGTGCTGCTGCTGCTCAAGCTGTTGCTGCTGCTGCTGCTGCTGTTTTACAATATCCCCTGAGCTCTTTGCAGCGAAAGAAAAGAAATGAAATGCTGAGGCCCTTCACCTTTAAAGTCTATTTGGATTATTTTGCTTCCTGCTGCTTCTGGGGTGTACGTACACTGGACCCCTGCGCGCCCAAAAATGGCCCGAACCCCTCAGAAGCAGCTGCGGCAGCAGCAGAAGCCGAAGCAGCAGCAGAAGCCGCAGCAGGAGCAGCAGCAGCGTAAGCCCAAGCAGCAGCAGCAGACGCAGCAGCAGACGCAGCAGCAGGAGCACCAGCAAGAGCAGCAGGAGCAGCAGGAGCAGCAGGAGCAGCAGCCAGAACAGCAACAGTCAGAACAGCAGCAGCCAGAACAGCAGCAAGAACAGCAGCAGGAGCAGCAGGAGCAGCAGGCGCAGGAACAGCATCAGGAGCAGCCGCAACAGCCCCAGCAGGAGCAGCAACAGGAGCAGCAGCAGGCACAGCAGCAGCAGGGGGCACAGCAGCAGCAGGGGCCACAGCAGCAGCAGCAGCAGCAGCAGCAGGACTACCACTGCGCGTCTATGATCAGGGCTGATGACCCTTTGATGGGAAAATGGATTAATTTATTTGTCGCAATTGAAAAGCACAAAGACGCAGAAGCAGAAGCAGTGAGCAGCTCTTGAGAAAAGAAAAAAAGAAAAAGAAAAAAGGAAAAATAAGAAAACTATTTTTGGACAAAAAGCGAAAAAAGAAATGAATAGAACATTTTTAATTTAAATAAACACAAACAAAACACAAACGCATTTATAAAGCAAATGAAACCAACGGCACACATGAAACACAAAATGCATGCATACATGCATGCATGCATGCATGCATGCATGCATGCGTCTGGACTGTATGTACACCTGGCGGGGTGGCGCGGTCGTGTGTTTCTGGAAGTGTCGTTTTTGGGGCTTTTTGGTTCAAATTTTTTCATTTTTTAGATTCTTTTAAAATTATTTTATTACTTTTTAGTTGCTGCAAGAACTAACTGCCTCGGGACTCAGTCCAGAAGTCTTTTTGGAGCCCTTTCCCTCCCTCGTCGCCCACGCGGCGCTGCACAGCCCTGCTGCGCTGCAGCTGCTGCTGCAGCGCTTCCACTGCGACCCCAACCTCAGGGACCCAGGCGAGGGTTTAGGGTTTGCGCGCGAGGGTTTAGGGTTTTGGGGAGAGGGACTAGGGTTTTGGGGCAGGGGTTTGGGGCTTCGGGACGAGGGTTTAGGGTTTTGGGACGAGGGTTTAGGGTTTTCGTACGAGGGTTTAGGTCTGACAACTAAATGCCTTTATTGACTCCTTCGTCTCCGTTGTTGTTCATTCTTTTCTCAATTCTTTTCTTAGTTCTTTATTAATTCATTTATTTATCTTCCATTGTCCTTTATTGCCTCTTTTTGTCTTTTATTTGCTTCTGCTGCCAGGCCACCGCTTCCAAACGCCTCTTTTTGCTGCTCGCGGTGCTGCAGTGCAGCTGCTGCTCAGCAGCGGCGCTGCTGCTGCTGCTCTCGACGAAGGCGGAGACTCTCCCCTCACCTTTGCTGTGAAGCTCCGCCGCTACGACCAGGTCAGCAGCAGCAGCAGCAGCAGCAGTAGAAGCAGCAGCAGCAGTAGCAGCAGCGGCAACAGCGGGAGTAGAAGGAGCAGCAGCAGCAGCAGCAGTAGCAGCAGCAGCAGCCGCAGCAACAGCAGCAGCAGTAGCAGCAGCAGCAGCAGCAACAACAACAGCGGGAGAAGGAGCAGGAGCAGGAGAGCGGCAGCAGCAGCAGTTGAGTAGCAGCTGCTGCAGCTTCCACCTCCTCAGAGACAGACACGCGCGCCAGGCAAACACCCCTCCTGGTGCTGCTGGTGCTGCTGCTGCTGCTGCTGCTGCTACTGCAGGCTGCTGAGCTGCTACAGGGCGGAGTGCCGCCTTGGGAGTGCATGGACGCGCGGGGCCTGAGCTGCGCGCACTTGGCAGCAGCAGCAGCAGCAGAAGAAGAAGCAGAGCAGCAGCAGTTTTGGGAAGCTCTTTTGGGAAGCTGGGGACAAAGAGCAGCAGAAGCAACAAAGCTGCTGCTGCTGCAGCCCGACAGCAGCGGCCGCAGCTGCAGCCAACGCGCAGCAGCAGCAGCACGCCCCGCGCTCGCGCAGCTCATCGATGACTGGATCGCCCGTGAGACAAACCCTAAACCCTAAACCCTAAACCCTAAACCCTACAGTCTACGCAGTAGAAGCTGAATCCTGGACCGTAAGCAGTAGGCCCCACACTGTGACTCCCAAACCCCAAAGCCTAGACCGCAAACCCTAAACCCTAAACCCTAGACCCTAAACCCTAAACCCTTGAAGGCTGCAAATGCAGTTGAGTGTGGCCTTTGGAAGCAAAAGCACAAATGCAGCTTCATCTCAAATGCATGCAAAGGAGCCTTTGTGTCTATACACCCGAATAAATGTGCATGCAAGAAAAAAGTTTACTTTTATTTCAGAAAAGAAATTCAAAATGTGAAATTTAGAAACAATTTGCTTCCGATTTACTCACTTGCAGCACTTCGTGCTGCAGCAAGTGCAGCAAGTGCAGCAACTGCAGCAACTGCAGCAAATGCAGCAAATGCAGCAATTGCAGCAGGTGCAGCAAGTGCTGCAGGTGCAGCAGCTGCAGCAGGTGCAGCAGCTGCAGCAGCTGCAGCAAATAAGGCTGCTGTCAGCAGCAGCAAAGTTGTGGGCAGCTTTTATTTGTTCAAATGGGAGAGAGTATTTCGGGTGTCTAGACACTCCGTAGCAACAAGTAGAAAGTGCAAAATGCAAATTCAAAAAATCAAAACAGCAGCTTTTGCTGCTGCAGCAAATGCATGCAGCAGCAAAAGTTGCATGCAGCAGCAAAACTTTCCCAAATGTTTTTTTATTTTGTAAAAAATAAAAGAAAATTTGAGCCGCCCAAATATGAAGCAGCAAACTGCAAAGTTGCTTTTGGCAGAAGAATGAAAATTATAATTTCATTTCTGGATTTAATTTTATTTTTTAATTTTTAAAAATTAAAATTGAAGTTTTCTTTTCGCAGAACAAGGCGAGGCAGAAGCGGCAGCTAAAGAACAGCAGCAAGAAGCAGCAGCAGCAAAAGACAGCAGCGCCCCCAGCGAGAAAAAAGAAGAAGCAGCAAAAGAAGAATTTAATAAAAGTGAAGAAGAAAAATGCGACGGAGCAGCAGCAGCAGAGACACCCGAAGGAGGCCGAGGAGTACATACACCTGATCAAGGGGCCGCTGCTGCGGCGCAAAACGAAACTGCTGCTGCTGCTGCTGCTGCTGCAGAAGCAGACAGCAACCCAGAAACAGCAACCAGAGAGTCTGAAAGAGATGAGTCGGCCGAAAGAGATAAAAACGAAATAGACGCAGCAGCGCAGCAAACAAGAAACCAAGAGCAGCAGCAGCTAACCCCAGTGCAGCAGCAGCGGCAGCAGCAGCAGGTGCTGTGTGAAGCCGACAAGCAGCAGCACCTGCGCACGCAGGACCTGCACGCAGCAGCAGCAGACGCAGCAGCAGAAGACGCAGCAGCAGCAGCAGCAGCACATCATTCCAGAAGCAGCAAATATGAAATGAAAAGAAGACACACAACAACTGACGTGCCTTATGACTCGCCGAGCAGCTCCGCAGGCTCTTCAGCTGTATGTACACCCCGCGCTTCGAATTCAAAACTGCCGATCCTGGACTTGAACACATATACAAGTTTCAGAAATTGTTTCTTTCGATTCTAAACATCTTTAGATGTTTCTTTTCTTTTTAATTCCATTTTTCC